TTGTGTCTAACGAAGGTATTCGATGTGGCATGCCCCTTGCTTTACGATGGAAGTCGGAAGATGGTTGGTTTCGCGAAAAGGTCGCGCGAACTGGCTGCGCCGCCACGCGCGCCTCCCGAGTGCAGCTGGCCGTATTACCGGGTACGTGGCTTGCTTATCGTCAAAGAACCCAGGTTTCCGGTAATTGCTTGCGAAAAGGAACAAAGTTGTAGGAGCGTTGCATGTCACGCGTGGTTTGCAGAATGGACGACTTTTAGAACCCCCTTCTTGGTGTAAGTATATTCGTTTGTGTCGCGAGCGAGGTGAATTCAATTGAGTAGGTAATATAGATTCAGAAATCTGGCAAACCACTGTATGTGTTTTGTCAGCCTTGGTGAATAAAAATCTGTGCAATGTGCTGTGAAGAGCGCTCTGAAATGCTGCTTGCGCAGACCTCAACTTGCATAACTATGACGACCTGCCCAATATGGGATAGAGTGAGCGCAACAAGCAAATGATCCAATACTGAAGCCCTGTCACAATTTCGTCGGCTCAATGTGTTCAAGGAGGGTGAAGGCTGCCAGGCACAGGCATGACAAGAAGGATCTGAAGACTTGGCTAGAATCGCCAGGGTCAACGTCTCAATGCAGATGCGTCCCTGACTCCCTGCATGGTCCCCATTCGTCATCCGCCGAGATGGAGTCATGCAAGTTTTGACGAAGATAGCTGTGCCGCAGGAACTCACAGGATAAGACGTAATCCCGATACCCACACCAGTCGTACTCTGTCAAGTCTGTCTGGGATTGAATTCGAAGTCTTGTTGAAAGTACCGACTTGATTTCCCCCGCCAACCACACAATTGTTACAAACACAACAGCTTTGAGAGCGTGACGACAATGGCTGTCGATTCGGACCTCTCTCGGATCACGACAACCGTCGTGACACTAGCAGCAAACCCAAATGCTACACAGGTGATTTATACCAACATTGTGTTGGTGACACTCGTCACAGTATGGACGGGGCTGCGTTTGTACTCGCGAAAGATGCGCCGGGTTCCATTTGGAGTTGACGACAGCTTGTACATGGTAGCGCTGGTATGAAACGAGGACAAATCCGTGAACACTGGGGTAATTAATAGACTGATCATGAATTCGTCAGATACTGTTCTACGCCTTTGTAGTCCTGCATTTCATGAGTACGTATGGCATTGACTACCTGTTGTCTTTCAGTCTCACCAGTAGAAATGTATCACATTTGTGTCGATGCATGACTGACCAACAAATCTCAGTGCTTTTCCTCGGTGGTGCAGGCCATCACGTCTCCGAGCTCCAGCCGTGGCATATTGAGAAGTTGATGAAGTTTGGGTATGCTAGTCAAGTGGTCTACGCTGTGTCTCTTGGGTCACTTAAGATCAGCATCTGCTGGATGCTTCAACGCATCTTCTTTGTCCGCCCGTTCAAGGTAAGCAATTGAGACCCGCGTCAGAGCGATCGAAATTCCCTCATATCGATGTAGACTCAGTTCATTAACCAGCGACTGCCTGGTCAACAGATTGCGGCTTGGGCAACCATGGGCTTATGCATTGCTTGGACTTTGATGACGATTCTCATTGGGTTACTTATCTGCAGACCCATCGCAATGCAATGGAATCCAACGATTCCAGGGGGAGTTTGCGGTGATCAGATTACAGCTTTTGCTGCTGTGGGCGTGGTCGATGTTATCGTCGATCTGATCATCTTCATTCTGCCTATCCCTATGGTGCTGAAGCTCCAAGTTTCCAGTGCGCACCGAATCGCACTCATAGGCATCTTCGGAGCCGGTATCCTGTAAGTGAAGCCCAAAGCTGCTTGGCCATAGTGCGTTCTATTCAAGGTCGAACCAATCATATTTGAAAAAATTCTAATAGATGAGCTTGCTCACAGGACAATCATTTTCGGAGCCCTGCGGCTTGCTTCGGTATTCAGCGTCGACTTCCTTGACTTCTCCTTTACATCGCCGAACGCTATGGTGTGGAGCTCAGCTGAAATGGGCGTCGCACTCATGGTATCGTCGTCACCGATCCTCCGGCCCGTCTTCGACCGCATCTTTGGCCGATTCATCAGTACCCTTCGATCGAGTGCAGACCGAACCAATCCCCATGCGAAATACTACAATGGTGGCAAGTCTGGAGCGACGGGACCTCGTACGTTCATCTCAGCCTCAAAGCCTCACTCCCGAGGGGCTGGTGGGTTCATGGTCATGACCGACTCGGAAGAGAACCTTGAGATGGATGATATGCATAAAGAGACGGACAGTAAGGTCATCGGGGGAAGGAAAGCGAGCCATAAGCGTTCCGAGTTTGGCGAAATGCAGGGCGGGCGTGCTATGAGAGATGATGAGTCGACGGATAAAATTTTTGTTCGCACAGAAATCGTCCAGAAGACGGATTGACAAGTCACTACAACATTGAAGATTGTGTGCAGCAAAAATAGATTTGGCTACTCTGCAACCATTGAGGACCAGTGGGTACATCAATAAGAACACCGGCATTATAGGCTTAATGAATTGACCTGCGTCTTCTGCGCTTCGTCTGAGTAGCCTCGAACTCCTCCTTGACCAATTCAAGCATGCCATCAACAGTCAAGATATCAATGGCAACGCCAGCCATGCTCTTCGCGACCATAATGGTCTTATCGAATGCAGCCCGACTGCCGGCAGCTACCTCAAAGGCAGCAGTATGAGGGCCGCCAGCTGGGGCACTGCCATTCTCGTTCATGATTCCAAAGAAAGGGCTAATCGTGGGGAAGTCCTTGCTGACGTTTCCTTGATCGGTGCTACCACTCGGTTCGCGCAGCTTATCGACCTCGGCGTTGGGAACCTCACCACCAAGCTCGGTGAAGTACTTTGACCAGGAACTAGCCAGAATGTCATTGGACACCATGTTGGAGTAGCCGTAGGGGCGCTTGGTGACGTTGAGCTCAGCACCGGTGGCCAAAGCACCGGCTTCCCAGCATTTAATGATTCGCTCGGTCCACTCCTCCAGGGCCTCGTCCTCGGCGGAACGAATCTGGAAGGAAGCCTGCGCAAGTGCGGGGATGACGTTGATGCGTGTTCCGGCCGAACTGATGATGCCATGAATCTTGTCGGTCGACCGCGTCTGCTGGCGGAGGAGAGCAATAGCGTTGTTAGCCAAAACCAGGGCGTCTTGAGCGTTGATTCCCTCCCAAGGGGAAGCGGCGGCGTGAGCCTCCTTTCCGTAGTATTCTACTTCAAAACGGTCGGTTGAAGTTGTGATCATGTATGGGGAATCGCCGCTGTTCGTGGGGTGAGAAATGAGTGAGATATCAATGTTGTGGTCTCTGAAAGCGCCAGCTTCAAGGAGCTTGACCTTGCCACCAAGACCTTAAGTATGGGTGAGCCTTTGCGTCAAGGGCATGATGCACTGGATGTGACTTACTTTCTTCAGCAGGAGTGCCAAACAAAATCACCTTACCAGGAAGGCTTTCGGCACGCATGATCTCAGCGGTAGCGAGCGCTCCTCCGACAGAGGCTATCGCAATGAGGTTGTGCCCGCACGCGTGCCCTAGTCCAGGTAGGGCATCTGCCAAAACCAGTCAGCCTCGAAGCGAAAGATCCGCGTTCGTGATAGACTCACCGTATTCAGCGTTGAAGGAAACCACAGGTCCCTCACTCGATCCTTCAAACACTGCGACGAATGCGGTGCTGATATTGTAGATGGATCTGGTGACATTCCACCCTTCATGGGATTCCATGAAGGAAGTGAGGAGTTCATGGGCCTTGATCTCTTCATATCCCAACTCGGGATTGTCGTGGATTTCCTTATTGATTGGCCATAACTCATCAACGATGGAATCGATGTAATCAGATACGTCCGAAAAGTAAGGGCTCGTTTCGCCGGTGCCGTTGCTTTGGCGAGGAATCACATTGAATGCCACAGCTGAGCTAATACCAAGCGCTGCCACCAGCACCGTGAGAGGTCCTTGGACACCCATAATGTTCCCAAATAAGTGAGCAGATAGAGATGACGAAGTGGGAGAACTTGCGTTCGGAATTCGTGGCTACATGAGTAATAGGTTGATGTGTTTATATGTATGTCGCTACCCAGGAAATGCTCCTCCGCTGTTGACAGACTTTTCTCCCTCTGCACATGGTCCCGTAGATGGAGACAGCTACCCCCCGCCAAAAACTTGACATCTTGGCAATTACACGAATAAAGCGCTCATCGGCTGCACGCCGAGATATGCCATTCGTTGTCTAAAGAAGACGAGGGGTCTGCGGACATATGCCCAGCTTTGCGAAAGAGGAGAGGGGCTTTTCATCAGCAGAATGTTGACAACTTGGACCCAATGCAATCTCCACTTCCTTCTAGAGATACCGGTCTTGGCAGAAGGGATAGGCATTTTCTACCACATGTTCATCACGCCGATATGTCATCCGAGGGGCTTGGTCCGGCTCTCCGGGAGAGTTTCCATGTCCGATCGGCTTTGCAAGAACTTGGGGCCCCGCGTACGTCTTTGCCGTGGAAAAGTCGGTCCACCCTGCTCCTGTCTGCCTCCGCGTTGTCACCAAACGGCATCGAGGGGAAGTGGTGGGGTCGGATCCACGCTTGGCAAGTAAGCTTAAATATAGCCGATCGTCAAAAACTTTTGCCGACGGCTATCTTCGCAATCATTGCCAAGGAATGGTAGCGTTCTCTGCTGATTTGTTCCACTGACTATCAGTTGTGGGTGCTGACAGTGGTTACGATATCACGTCATGTAATAGACCTGTTGTCATCAAGATTCCAATACTCAACTGAGTCTGCCAAGAAACTCTCACCGTCATTTCGGCCCTTTGACCTCTTGTTGACGACACAATTTCTTCTAGTTTTAATCACTTGATGAGGGAAAATTACGATCCAATGGGCATCAGGTGCTCCCGGCACTGCGTTGATAAGTATGGATCAACTCGTGTAATTTGAGGATTTGAGCAGTTATTAAGAAGAAGTTGTCGATGGTAATGCTAGCTGGCAACCTTTGAAGCTAATGCACGTATCTGAACGAGACAACCCCTTCACCACCATGCCCAGCTTTTGACCCTTTGATATGGGTATGGCTTGTGACACCCAAGCGCTCCTCTTCCTCAAAATTCTCATTCTGTTTCTTGAGGTAATACTTGATCGACAACGCTACACCTGCACACACCAAACACGCTCCAGACATGACCGCCCCACCGGCGTAGTACCGCGGCTTCTGGCTGTCAGGGAACATGTAACTTGTGTAAAAGTGCGCCACCCCAGCAGCCATAAAGTTGACAATGGCTAAAGCAGCAGCACGTTTAGCTCTAGGCCGTGGAAGAGAAGAGCTGAGCCAGCTAACGCATAGGTTGTAGGGCGCGTAGGAGCCGGAGGTCATGAGAAACATGGAGAAGTATCTTCCACCGAGAGATGGCACAAACATGGCCTAATCGATGTGAGTTTATGAGATAAGGGTTAAAGCTGGTTTTGCTATACTTACCAAGAGGTTTCCAAGCAGAGCAAAGACCATTGGGACAGCGATGTGATAGCCACGTTCGTCCTTATGTGACGCGTGGAAAGATACACACAGTGAAACGATGAATGCGAAGAAGTATGGCGGCGAGGTCAAGAGAAGCGTTGTTGTTTGGCCGTAGCCAAGAGTTCCCACAATTGAGGGGAAGAAGTTATTGAAACTTTGCGCCGTGATCAACGCCATTTGCTGCACAATGAAAAGGTAGAGTTTGGGATCGATCAAGGCTTGTTTGAGCCCCCAGAAGATCGACTCTGGGTCTTCGTCAACAATTCCTGCATTCTCCTTGCGGATTCTCCACTCCTGTTCAAGGTTTAGTAAAGGGAAGTGGGTAAAAGTGTCCATATTAGGATCATGTAGGACTTACAGCGTAGAGCTGATGCTCTCGTGATATGAAGAGATGCTTGTTTTGTAGTGGATAATCTGTGAGCAACGGCAGGAGGAGAAGGGCAATGACTACAGTCATGGCGCCTTCAATGATAAAGAGCCATTCCTATGAGTTATCAGTCAGGCTTTCATTGACGATGCAGGTTCTGGCTTTCTAAACTTACCCATGAGGGTCTGCCTGCCTTGCCTTCCATCCCAGAGGTAATTCCCGCGGCGATCAGTCCTGAGAATGCCGTGGCGAGCATATTTCCTCCATATAGAATCGCGATTCTCGGAGGCAACTCCTTTCTATTGTACCAGCATGACATCAAAACAAAGACGGCGGGTAGGAAGGGGGCCTCCACTAGGCCAAGGATGAAACGAACTGCTGCCAGCTGAGCGAAGTTGGTTGTGAAGCCCTGGCACATGGATATAATTCCCCATAAAGAGGTGATGAGGCAGATGTAGTAAGAAGGCCTCACTTTTCCGATGATGAGATTTGAAGGAACCTGTGTGATGCAGTCTTGTGACTAGGTCAGCGTGAAGGTTCAAGATGGGTTTGTGAGGTCGACATGATCGCGACTTACAACCGACATAGAACATCAGAAGGCAAGTGTTGTATTCGGCATTTGTTATGTTAAGTGTCTCTGTGAGACCTGTGATCTTCGCACTTGCTATGTTGTTCCTATCGCTTGAGGGTCGTTAGCAGGGAAAGCATGAGTGAAGTACTTGGCCAGTGTTTCTAAACGTACAGAATGTTCAGGAGGAACAGAATAAACACCGATGGCATCAAGGTGAGATCAAGACGCCGTGTTAGACCTCTTTCAAGGAGCCTTAGCTCACCGGCTCCCATGTGCTCTAGCTCCTGAGGCAGAGGCAACTCTTCTGGCAGTAGAGTCTGCCGTTTCTCTGTATGCTCGGCATCTTGCTTCTGTGCTTGGATTGCTTCAGACATCGTAAAAGCTCCAAGCCCTGACGGAGCAGTTGGTAGCCGTGGGTTTCTTCCAAAGTGGCAACGTTATGCTCAAAGTATTCAGCCGTACTATTTAAACAAAACGAAAGCCGGGAACGTTGTAGGGATTGAAGCTCCGGGGAGAAAGCCGGCGGGATGCCCCTGTGACGCTGCCTCTGATCTGGGGCCCCGGATTCTTGGCTTGCGGGGGAGGGGACGGATAGCTCCAGGGTTGTCTTTCAACACCGGGATACGACGTCTGCCCCGACTTTTCCGAACATCGGGAAGAATGCCGGAGGAGTGGTTTGCTTGGATGGAATACTGATCGGCGATCATGGCAACACCAGCTAGAGTCGATTTGAATGCAAACATTGGACAAGATTGGAAAAGATAGGCGAGGAGAAATATCTTCGGGAAGAGCTCAAGAGATAATCGTGATCTACGGAGATGACTCGAACGCCTTCTGATTTACCGGCGTCAACGGCTTGCCAACTGTAGTGCCATCACTCCCGACCACTTCAACGATGTTTTTCATCGCATTCAGCTCAAAGTTGACTCGTGTGGTGATAGCCGCTCCGCCGTTATGACACGTCAGAGTTACGTTCTCCATATCCGCGAGTGTCTTTGAAACTTGTGGTTCGTGATAATGCACATCCAAGCCAGCAGCTGATAACTTCCCGCTTTGTAAAGCCTCAATCAAGGCTTCTTCGTTGACCACTTCGCCTCGCGCCGTGTTGATGAGTCGAGCTCCATCCTTCATGGCCGTGAAAGCTGCCTTATTGATCAAGTCATGCGTATGAGCATTGAGCGGAGTATGAAGCGTCACGCAGTCTGACACAGCCAGGAGTTCGTGTAGAGTCGGATGGAAGGTCGCTTGCAAGGCTTCCTCGACCTCTAAGGGTGATCGCACCACATCGTAGTAGTGGATCTTCATACCCAGCGCAGTCCTGGCTTTGTACGCGAGTTTTTTGCTGATGTTCCCAAGTCCCACGATCCCAAGTACATGATCGCGTGGGCTCCACGATATACCTCCCACCAGACGATGCATGGCAAGAAATTGCTCAGGATCGCACGTTCTTGCCGCTCTCTGTGCCCTCCAAAAGTTGCGAAAGACTGAAAGGATCATGAAAAGTCCCGTGTCCGAGACGGCTTCGTCGCTGGCACCTGCGCCATTAGCGTACCAGATCTTGCGTCGACCGAGGGCATCGACATCAGCCCAGTTAAAACCTGCTCCTGCGGAGGCAAAGATGCGGACTGATGAGGGTAGGAGGTCGATGAGTTCGTCATCCCACTGGCCCATCTCGCCGCCGGTCTGGAAATGAGGGCGGAATATTGCGGAAAAGTCGCCAAATTTCTTCTCTTTGAGAGCTTTGATGAAAGATGCTCGGTCCGGTTCCTCGTTGGGGACAACGGTGAATCGGTCTGTGAATACATTCTTGTAGTAATCGTGGTTGTATTTGACATCCTCGCCAAGGCGGAGGACGATGGGCCTATTTTCAGCCATTGTCTGAGGATGCTCCTGGGAATTCAAAATCCGTGAACAGCCGTGGAAGAGATATCTCCGGACGTTGTTTGCCGAAATAATAATTGGTTGGTGATGAATCCTTGGTGAGACCAAAGTTTTAAAATGCCGACCTATATCGATGAGAGAAGCTCCGAGACAGTCATTGATGACTGGTAATTTGCAAGCGCCCATTATGTGCTCATGCGGATTAACAGCATGAAGTATTCAGATAAACAGAAGTATTCTGGTGCGATGTTAACCCCCGCACGTTATTCCCAGCAGGATGACGATATCGGTGAGAAAGCCGATGCATATCCGCCAACCCACATCCCAAACCGACGCCCAGTGACAAACACCGAGGGTAACTTATTAAAAACCAATCTGCCTCTTTTTGAGCAAGGATACTTGGGATAACTATTTAATTATGCGCAGAAGAGAGTTGTTCAAGTCAAGAACTCATAAATTTACTGCAAAAGCTGTATTGGGACTCGAACTACACTTCTTTTTGCCTCTGAGTCCCCGAGGAACCACCAGTTTCGTCATCAGACATTCGTTAATTTAGGCCTCTACAAACTTCTCATTAGGAACCTTCATAGTCTCCAACACGGTTGATGCGGAACGAGGCTCCAAACTCTTCTTGACGGGGTTAGGCGCGGAAAACACCTCCTCAAGCTCTTCCAGCGTTCTGTGGTTAGTCTCCGGGAAGAAGAAGTAGATGAAGATTGCCTCCAAGATATCCCTAAAATAAAGATTAGAATTGACAAATGGAACTCGAATATCTTTGACTGATGAGTAACGCACCAAAAGACGAAGACAAGGTAAAAGTAGTAGCCAATCTTCTCAAATGCAGGGCCAGAACTGTAAGCAAGCACCAGCGAGATAGCCGAGGAGGCGAAATTGCCGACCGCAGTTCCTTTGGCACGAGTGGAGGTGCTGAGAGTCTCGGCAATGTACATGCTCTGCTGAGCTGTCCAGCCCAGAGAAAATACGACACCAAACAGGAAGACGAAGGCGATGGTGGTATTGGCAGCGTTGGTGTTGCTCGGGTCATCGACGGCCATCTTGGATGTACCGGTGATAACGGCGAAAGTGACGGAGCAGAAAAGAATGCTGTAGATGAGCAAAGGTCGTCGGCCTACGCGGTCGGTTAGGCGGGCGCCGATAACACTACCAAGAAGGCCGAGAATGCTGTTAACTGCGTTGAGGGCTAGGACCTTCTTTTCGTCGGTGATTCCGGCTGTGTTCATCATTGTCACGAGATAGTAGCTGGACAGAGAATTTCCGGAAGCCTGGTGAAGATAAACATCAGATCCAATCGCAATGTCGGTGTTTCAGCGGCTTAGAAGGTCTTACCTGTCCCATGATGGCCATACCCAAGACGCAAATCAGTCTTCTCCGAGCGGAGTGGGTGTTCCACAACTCGTGGTAATCCCACCACTTCTTATCACTAGCCTCGTTCGAGATTTGGGCCATCATTTCCTTCATCTGCAATTGCACAATCGGATGGTTGGGATCTTTTTCACCGTGGAGCTGAGTCAGAATCTTTGCTGCCTCTTCATGTCGGTCGTTGGCTACAAGCCATCTGGGCTATTGAGTTTAAGGTTAGTTGAAGCGTTGACCTTGAGATGAAGTTGGCTGCTTACACTTTCTGGCAAGAAGAACACAAAAGCGACAACGATTCCGGATGTGACCAGTTGACACCAGACGGGAAGACGCCAGCCGCCGTCTCCGGGGATGAAAGAAGCGCCGTAGGCGACCTGTTTGACCGAAATCAGTATACTGTCGAAAGGAATCAAGCTCTTCCGACATTGTAATTGCTTACCCAGCCTGCAATGAAAGCTCCAACAGGCCTATCATGTTGTTAGCTCAATGGAAGATGTTGATTCACTAAAGTCTTCAAGGGTTCTCACCACATGCAGTTATACAATCCAGTCAGGGTACCTCTCCACTGTTTCACAAATCGTCAGTGTAACTTCATCGGCAATTCTCAATATTCGACTTACCTTAGGGTGAGCAAGCTCGCTCACGTAGGTTGGAGCAGAGACACAACAAAATGACACGCCAAAGCCCAAAACGAAACGTCCACCTAAGAACTGAGGGATGTGGTTTGCAGTAGCCCTAGATTGAATTCAGTGCTCCAATTCAAAGCTCGAATAGTTGGTTCGCCTTACTGGATGCAAGTGCCGATCTAGGATACCTGTCAGCAAAGTCCGCCTTAGGTAAAGGGTGGGGATGCCCATATCTCATTGACTTACAATGATGAGCAAAGCGCCGGTAAACATGCCCCAGCGTCGGCCAAGAAGGTCATTGACGGGTCCCGTGAAGAGGATGGCACAGACCGATCCGACATTGTACATCATGAACACGATGCCGGTCGAAGAGCCCGAGGTTTTCCTGCTCCTGTATCAGCCTACTTCTCTCCACCAAGCGTTGCTACTACGGAGTGCTCACATATCAAAAGTTCGTTGGTAGGATGTCATTCCGTTGAGCGATCCCATGAGTGATCCATCCTGTTGCATTCTGTCAATGATGCAGGTCGATATTGTTCCGCAAAGTCAAGGCAAGCTTACATATCCGTTGAGGGCACCGCAGCAATACGCCACAAACAGCACCCCATAGAGGTTGAACATGGATTTCGTCCAAGGGGAGTATTTGCCATCTTCCACCTCGTGCGCGATCTCGTGTGCAGCAACGGCTGCCACTACAGTGGGAGGCGCGTCTTCCATGACATCGCTGCTGGCGAGGTCCCGCTTCTCGTCGCCGCCGGAATAGGTCCGTTTCGTTGGCTCAGCCATTCTGGCAGTCAATTTTCGGCAAGGATCTCGGTGTCTGGGTACTTGAGGGCCAGTCCGATTCGAATATCAGATCTCTGGAGTCTGGGGGACATGGGGAATCCAGTCACTTCCCGCGATCGATGCAGACGCGATATCGCGCTTATATACGTCTATGTTTGCGCAGCTCAATGGTTCGGTTCCAAACTTCTCAATTCCTCGGCTGCAACCAAACCACTCCGTCACCCAAGACCAGCAGCGCAGCAGCCAAGCCGGCGCAAGTGGCCTGTCAGACTGACTCTGGCATCACGCCCGTCGCGTATCCACATCCGTGGGTTCACTTTAGCACGGAAGAACACCTGAGCTATCCCCGCATTTCCTTTCTTCCCCGAAGTTGGCTTACCCCAGACCGCGCGATTCCCCAGGTCGATCACATGAGAGGCGCCGGTCCGCTGCGAAATCCGGGTTCAGTCCGGCAGTTTGCGGGTAGCGTTCTCGCTAGGAAATTAAACCGGATTCCCGAGGCGCTTCATGATTGGAGGGGGTATGGCAGGCATGGCGAAAGCCGTTTAGCTCCCGCCTGGCGATCCAGTACACAGTATGGGGGTGGCTGGCTAATCGGCTCCGAGTGCCCCGGCTTCTTGAACAACTGAACGATGAAGCTGGTCGATAGCGGCATGGCGTACCTTGGCGTGCCGCGTAACAACCCCTGCGAGTGACTTAGGAAATCCCGTTGACTGTCTGATGGCTCTTATGAGCGGTGACCCAGTTCATTGGGACGAAACTGTCCGTCGCGCTATGGCGAGCCATCCAGCTGGGAGAGTCAGATCCAACATGGGAGCGAGGTCATAGTGTCGATGAGGCGTATCCACACCGGGTGCAGGCCTGCATAGTTGAGGTATGCGACTCGAGGCCATGTGGAAAACCTTCTCCTCCTGAGAAGCGAAATTCGGGGTTCCACAGAACACGGCGCCGGTCAATGAACTGGTCCAGGCAGCTGTGAACACCGTGAATGCTGGGTATCACGTATACGTTCAAATTCTGAGATCAGTCAAAAGCTGCCGTGCAGCACTTGCAACATATATAATGCACATTCGATCAGTGCTCAAATAATTGGCTAAGGCAGAAAAGGCTCGAACAGCGTGACGAATCGCGAATAGATGTAAGCCAGGACTCAAAACCTTGATTCCTCGCACCGACTTAGTACCTACGTTACGTACTTACTTTTGTAGGTTAGTATATGAAAGTAGTCACTTCCGACTTGAGAATGATGAGCTTGCCAACTTCAACTTGTGGGGGTCTTGGACTTCATATTCCCCTGTTCAGACGTGATGAGTTGGAAGGATTCCTAGCGCGTCGAACTATCTGCCTCCAGTAGCCCTCTTGGCACATATTGGAGGTAGATGTTCTTGCATTCGGGAAAGCCGGGGCCCGAAGTAATGTGCTTTGTCGTTCTCTGAACATGGCAAGCATGTTCCTGTTCAATTGCGACTTGACGAAAAGGTGTAGATACAAAAAGGCATTCCCAGGAAGTCTTTACCCGTGACAATCGACTCCGGCCGGTCTCCGTGGGACCATCACCCCGCATGAACAGATGCCAGGCACCCGGCCTCATTTAGTCAAAAAGCGGAGAATGCGGGCCTCTTACACTCTAGTCAACGGGGCTTGACAGTGGCCTCATGTCGACACGACTTTTGCAACGCTTTCCCTCAACACAGATGATCTGAGCACGGTATTCCCGCCACCAAGCACCAGGTATCTCCCTTCCCCGGACACCACCGTTCTCTCGATTGATACTGCCTCCGAAGTTGAGTAAGGAATCTCTCGAAAACCTGGCGGCTTGGGGACGAGTATACGCTTCGGGGATTGAGCCTTACGTCGCTGCCGTGGCCCCAAAGATCGGCGGAGTCGTCGTGAACCAACGCATCAAAATTTCCAGTCCCACCTGTGACCTATGGGGCAGGTAAAGAATCATGTCAGGCGTGTTTAGTCTAGCAGTATTATGTTGGAAATGTTACTTACTAGTGAATCGAATTGTGCCCAGTTTATCATGTTGAAGAGTCCGACGTGAAAAGCACGGAAAGGATCGGCAGAAAGGCGCGCCCTCGGCAGCTTGTTCAACAGCAAGTCTCGACCCGCTGGTACCACCCTCGGGGCGTAATTGAGACCGCCGGTATGGCACAGGAAGGATCTCGTTGTTCTCATTTGATGTCAAACAATTTCCAGCGCGGGGATTTGAGACAGGCGCGAGATACGTATTGTTCCGCAGGACCTCGAGGCGCAATTCTTGGAGGACAACACCGTAGCGCTGCATAAGTGATCCATTGGTTGCAATACTTTCAATTTGAGCATGGCATTGAGAAGCAAGACGGAAGCAATCCAGGCAGGTCTCTGGTGTCTCGGTACGTCGCTGGATTGCGAAAACGTAGAGTATAACCACTGCACTGAATCCGTAATACGAAACGAGCTCATGTGTGTGAGAGTGTGAAGTACTAAGTTTGATTCCCAAACAGAAAACAGCAACTTACAAACAACGTACTGTAGAGCTCGCCGGCATCGTTGATGTAGTTGACGTGCTTCGTGATCTCTGTGGCGGCGTCCACGCAAAGCTGAACATTTTTCCGAATCTCCTCATGCCTCAACCGCCCACTGCCATTTTCTTGAACCTGCCCAGAGAGGCTATTAAGGGAATTAATGAGGAATGGTCTGTGAACAAGTATCTGGGCGTGCGAAAAGGCGAGCTGGAGCAGGTCGCTTCGGCTAAAGGACCAGCTTGACATACAAGGCTGAAGATCCGACCGTGTCAAGAAGGTAGGAAATTGGCTCTCGCCATTCGGACAAGTCTTCATTGAACCTTGCAGCAGGTGTGAGGTGCTCCTCAGTTGAAACAGATTTGATGCCATAAAGGCTTCGTAGAACCCTGGCTACTATCCTCGAGGGCCTAGTACTCTTGGTGATTGACCGTAGCTTCCTTGATTTTGGCGGAAACCTAGTTCAAGCAAAACCATGGGATTTTGAATACCTACTTGATTTGCGCAACTGGGGCTGATGTAATCGGAGGACCACTTTTTGTTGAGTCCATCCCACAGCCTGGGCGCAGCTGATCATCGTCAACGGAAAGCGGCAATTGCTGATCAATGTCTTCATCATGGAAAGTCATTGGACGCCCCAAAGCAGCGCTGAGATATTAACCATCGATTCTGCAACAGTCTTTGGCGGCAGAATCGCAAACGAAGAGCCTTGTCCAGGCAATGGACGATCCCCGAAGTTGAAGACCGACGAGTTCAACTATCCAGAAGATTGCACCTTCAGTCTTTCGTGTATCCGAGAGAGAAAAGAAACACCTGATGCAGGGCCTATATAATGGCCTTGTTCATTCGTTTGTGGTGGTTCTGGCGAGTTGCTCAACGAGTTCGTATCGGGGATGCGCGGGAGGTGGTCAATATCCATAGTACCGCGAGGGACATTTGTGATCTCCCCATCTTTGAAGAGAGGCGGGGATTGGAATGTAATTGGCGATTCAATAGCAGTTCTTGAGATTACAGTTGAACTACTAGGAATTGTTGCGACAAATGAACTCTGATGAACACAGGCACTGGAGCATTCTCCGCCCGCGGTCTTCTCAGCAAGGGTTGAGTTCGCACCCTCTATAAAATTCTGCCTTTCGAGATTCACGGCATCGTTATCAATAACTGAAAGAAGTTGACCTCGTCTATAGGCTGCGGTGAATTGACAATCTAGATTGAACTCTGCGCAAAAGACGCACGGCCATGTCCCAGAGCATCGTGTCTTGCGACTGAAGCCAGCATATTAGACGTTAGCCATTGTACAACAAGACTCGACACACCATTCCGTTGTAGGCTAGCGATTTGCACTTATCGCAGGCTCTGTTTACTCATGGAGGCGCAGGATCTCCTCGGACCCTTTTGCGGCCTGTTCGATTCTGCGGCATCAGTTGCCAGTCGAGTCCGGGACAATGATGCGATCGGCGATTCATCTATTGCTTCCTCGGATAGACTAGATACACAAGAGGTTCGGAATCACTTCTGTCAAACCCTGAATAGTTGTTATCGATGATTCAACTCGGATGCACTTTTCCGTCTTTGGGCCCAAGGATGCCCGCTCCCTCGGATGTCGGACGTCTGCCGATCCTAGTCGTACTCCAACATCCGCGGAAAAGGCGGCGTTCCACCCCGCATACGGATTATTGTCCTTCGAATGGCACACTTATCCTACAAATCGTACCCCGCTTAGTCACCTATTAGATGGCCGAATCTTCAAGCGCTACAGTTCGATTCAGTTGGTGACGTTAAAAACATCCCTAATCTCACGATTTGCGTTCAATTACAGCAACGAAGCAGCCAAAAACAGACAAAGGAAGGTGAACCTAAAACCACATGCAGCCATCATGTCTCGACGTGGGACTATTCGGGATATCGTCATTACACCAGTGGCATTTCATGACATGCCACTGCTAAATAGCGTTGGTGTACATGAGCCATTTGCACTACGCAGCATCATCGAAGTTATCACAGATGACGGTTACGGATTGGGGGAATCGTACGGAGACTCAACACACCTGGGCCGTCTCCAACTTGCGGCCGACAAAATTAAGGGCCTCACTGTGTACGAAACAAACTCCATATACCAGCTATGCGTCGAGTCCTTGACAGGCGACACCAGCACAGGCGGCGACGGAATGGCAGGCATGGTGACTACTGCCTCCGTTGCGGACAAGGTTTTCTCCCCATTTGAAGTTGCGTGTCTCGACATCCAGGGTAAGCTTGCAGGAGTACCTGTGAGCGACCTTCTCGGCGGCCGCGTTAGAGACAACGTCCAGTATTCGGCCTACCTCTTTTACAAGTGGTCGGGACACCCTGGACAGCCAGACGACGAATACGGCGCGGCTCTTGACCCTGCTGGTGTGGTAAAGCAGGCGAAAAAAATCATTGACGAGTACGGTTTCAAAGCGATCAAGTTGAAAGGCGGCGTCTACCCACCCGCACAAGAGGTGGAAGCAATCAAAACATTGCATGCGGCTTTTCCGGGTGTGCCTCTTAGACTCGACCCCAATGCCGCCTGGACTGTCGAGACCTCAAAATGGGTTGCGAAGGAACTCGAAGGGATCGTCGAATACCTGGAAGACCCGGCCCCAGAAATCGAAGGCATGGCTGCTGTTGCGAAAGCAGCGTCGATGCCGTTGGCGACAAACATGGCCGTAGTCGCATTTTCTCACTTGCCCACATCAATTCTGCAGAACGCAGTCCAAGTGGTGCTCTCTGATCATCACTTCTGGGGTGGCCTGCGCAAGTCTCAGACTCTGGCCGCCATCTGCGCGACTTGGGGAATGCGTCTTTCGATGCACTCGAATAGCCATCTGGGCATATCACTTGCGGCCATGACTCATCTTGCGTCGGCTACTCCAAATTTGGACTATGCTTGCGATACTCATTGGCCATGGAAACCACGGGATGAGGATGTCGTCGTTGATGGGGTACTCAAGTGGTCTGATGGTGGTTTGAACGTTCCGACCGCGCCTGGCTTGGGAGTTGAGCTAGACAGGAAGAAGTTGGCGCATCTTCATCAACTCTACCTGGATTGTGGGCTGCGGAAACGCGATGACACAACGTATATGAGAAAATTCCACCCTGAATTTTCTCCAAACGTTCCAAAATGGTAGATTCATTATTACCTCATGACTGCATGCACCTTCTCGATTAGACCTAGGAATCCAAAAGCCTCTGATACAATGAATGATGACACAACTTCAGTGCTCATTCTTTTGGAGCTTACCTCCCTGCGAAAATTGTAAATACGCAACTTGCAAGGGGTGTCTTCGAGTCTTTTATAGTGAAACGCCTCTTATTAAGGTAAATAGAATGAGAGTTCCTCGGGAGCAGAATCGGTCCTTGGATAGCATATTGAAATATACATAAGCCTACAGCGTGCTCTACGGTGGTTTGAAGTTAAGGTCAAGTTTACAAAAAAACACCGGACGTGAAGTGGGACTAATCAAAGGAAATATCAAAGCTCAGTTAACACTTGTCATAATCTTTTGCCTTAGAAAGACAAGAGCTCTCGATCCTCGAGCGAACTGTCCCTACATGTCGAGGAGAGGAGGTTTTCCGCCTCATCCGCGCATTTTCTAAACCAAATGGTATTGTCTCCGGCATTTCTGGATCCCCTGCCTTGACCAGGACTTTGCAGAATTCGATAACAGTCCGAGATGTGCTAACAAGCTGAGATGAGCAAGACATCGTGTATGATTGCAGGGGGAGAAAAGATCCTACAGCTCCATCGTGGGGAAGCGGATATGCGGGGAGACTCAACATCTTACTCCTCTCGCTAACAATAGAACTGCACGAACATGCCAGATGTTAGAAGGACTTTCTTGTTTTGGCAAGGTCTTATAGATGTCTGAAATACCTACCTAGTAGTACAACCATCAACTTGCAGTCTCTTTTATCACCCCAGCTGAGACCGCGTCTGCGTCTGTCTGTAAACAGATGTTTGGCCAGGTTCTCTCTGTTATTTTAACTCCAGTCTGAGAGCCTGCCTTAGAAAAGAGAACCTTAGACTGCTCTGTAGGTACGCCATTGTGAACGACATCTCTGATCTCATCAATCTCGCACCCTCTGGGCATTGCATTGTCAGCAAGATGGTGAAATAGAGGGCTGGCCATCGTGGAAACTCGGCTAAGTCGATTCTAATTGGATTAGCGATCAGTCTTGCTAGGTAGGTCTACTCTAAAGAAATCTAGCTCTGTGTTGAGGCTGATGCTAAGTGCGGCCTAGATTCGTGTACGGCATCGATACGGGTATCATTGCTTCAACCATCGCTCAGACCACCTTCAAATTATACATGTACGGCCCATCTATGGACAACGTTTCTGTGCGAGCAGGCATTGAACCTGGACATTACGCAGGATACGCCTTTGGCAGTGGTGGCTCTGCCTACTGCATGGACAAGATGTCCCATCGCTGGACATTGCTCTTTGGAGCGTGTATTGGTGTCGCAGGAGCAGTGCTGCAGACTGCCGCCGTGAACCCAGCCATGATGATTGTGGGTCGTGCTTTCTCAGGACTCCCGACGGGTAAGGTCTATCCGCCAGCCCCTGTGTATCTTGCGGAGGTCAGCCCTCCAGAGAACCACGGATTGCTTGTTGGCTCGAAAGGATTGGTGCACACTCTCGGGTTCTTCGTTGCTAGATGGATGGGTTATGCTGGCTATATGATGAAGCTTTCTGGGTCAAACACCATCCAAAGTTACCAGTCAGTCATGTATAACTCTTTTGGGTAGGAGGGCCAGACTGTGCTCCTGATAGGCGGTTTATATGGCTTCATGGCAGTTATCGGGCAGATAATGAACGTTTTCTTTGTCGCCGACCACTGGACGCGACGTACACTATCATTTCCGGGAATTTCACGCTCGCTGTCCTCCTCGCGGTTTTGACGGCCTTCTCGAAACTTTTCCAAGATGACTCGAATCCAGCTGAATCCCATGCCGGTGTTGCGTTCATCTTCTTGTTCGCGTTTGCGTACTACTTCTTCTTCAACAATGTCAATTGCGTTTTGGTAGCAAAGACTTTTTCACTCGACCTCCGTGGCGTCGGTGTTGGCTTCTCAATCTTTACACAAGCTGTTACGGCAATTTAGTTATCTTAGGCGGCACCAGCCGCGTTCGATGCCATCGAGAGGAAGTTTTACTTCGTGCACCGCTTTTGCGGGGATCATCTATTTTTTTTTCCTGCCCGAGACTCGCTTCTTATTACTTGAGGAGGTGGCTGCTAAGTCCGGTGACGAGATTATCAGCCCAGGATTAGCAGTCTAGGAAAGAAAGGTCCGGAGCTGGATCAGCTAGAGCAAGATGCGGGAGATAACAAGCGGCAGCCTGACATATCCCTAGACCACGTTGAAGATTCGAGGAGATGAAGAATGAGCGAGTAAATATCAACGAGCGGGACCTGGGCTCTCAACAGGACATCTTCTGTGCCAAGTATCTCAGTATCTGAAGGTAAATTGGATTTCGTTCTTCTTTGTTCCATCTTGTTATTGTACGCCACGCCGGACAATACCGGAGCGTCTTCTTCTACATATAAAGTGAATCCCGAAGATGATGCCGTAGTTCCATAAATGTTTCATTTCCCTCACAATTAACGCATAGGGTAGTGAGTGCCTATTGATAGTGATAGAGACATGCTGTCAAGCAACCCTAAATAGTCTCTTTACTTCTCCATTCCAGCTAGCCTGAACCTCGCGCCGATACCAGACGCTGTCCTTTGAGATCGCCGAAATTCTTTGGCGAATGCCCAGCGGGCGGACACTGAAACATCTCACTGTTTCCTCCGCGAGCAACAAATTGATGTGTTCCGTATCGACCCCTGCTCGTAATGACATCCCAATGATTAGCAGGCGGTTGGAAATTCGTGGGCATGGAACATGAGGTACCATAGCTACCTTGTAGTCTTCAAGCTCACAAATGTGCTCCCAGTCAGGGAGACTCACATTCGCAGCGAAATAACCCACAGGAGCTTTGCAGTCCGTTCCTCTTCCCTAGGTTACATACTTGAGAAGTAGTCTTTCCGGGCTCAAAGAAGGACCTTTCGCCTCGGTTCGGGATCAATATGTCTCAGACGAGAACGCTGAGTCTCACGATGATTTTTGAAATGCGTAATCCAACCATTCATGCATGTCGACCGTATTGAGGTCTACCTCCGGGATATCCAGGTCACACAGCGTTTCGTGAAGCTTTTCAAGCCCGCTGTGATGCCTCTCCTCCCAGACTCCCAGCCGTCGTCTTCGCCTCTCATCCCGCGCCCGACGCGCAGGATCCTTTTGCTGATATCGAAGAACCCTGTCGAGAAGCCCGTCCATAAGCGACAAAACAAGACATGCTAACCACCCTTTCGCGGTCAGTGAGTGAGGTAGAAGAGTGCTGCTCGGTGTGACTGTGGGCCGTAGTCTTAGCTCAGACATTGCCTCAGTCCAAGTTTGGTTGAGAGTGGCGTTCATAGCTGCCGTCAATGGAAAGAAGGACTCGGGATAAGATCTCGAGTAAATCCGGGACAGGTTGAAGGAGGTGAGGTCTCCTGCATCACATAGGTGGTTGTGGTTAATTTACAGTTATTGCGGAATCACCGGGGTCTAGAAAGTCTAAAAAATGTCCGAACGTCAAGCCACAGCACCCATATCGCGCGGTACAATGTGTCGATGCGTTTGACTGCTGTAGGAGCAAACTTTAAACCGATGAAACCTTGCCGTAGAACTTCAATGTCACCTAGTAGGATTTCGCGTAGTGCCTTTCATCTGAAATGATTTATCTAAGAGACAGGCGTTCTAAAGAACGGTCAACGCTTGAAGAAATGTCTCCAGTCATGGACCGTACTTGACCAAGCACGAAAACAACCGAAGGAAATGTTTGATATGCTGTTCGCGCATACGAGCCAAGGTAGCCATTGCCGAGTGAGGCAATGCTTTGATTTGCCGAGATTCTCGGGCTGAAGTTGGCAGAGACAGACGTGCCGAACAGTAACGTGAGGGGAGAACCTGGGATAATGTACTCAAGTTGCAATCGTAGAATCCGCAGTTGACGATGCGTTTGCTTTAGGTGGGTATTTCGGTAAGCCACAATGGAATGATTGAAATAACAAATACGGATACACGTACTCTCTTCACGTGGGAAACTTGGATACGGATCCACGTAAAGGAATACACGTAGAACAAAAGAGTGGGTATGCGGAAGCAGATCTACACCAATTCCACCCAACTCCAAAAGACTCGCACAGATCTCCGCTCGTCTTCATGCGCAAGCGTTCGAAGGGGGCCCCATCGCCGAAAGCGAGAGCGAGCGGAACACCACGCTCTGACGCAGGTGTGGCTAGAAACGTCAGGGGTGGTTTTCAGCGCAAGGCCAAGGTCTGGAACACATTCTACTCCGTTAGGTAAATCGTCATGGAAATAGAGCACATGTTTACTATGTAAGGTGGGAAAGAAGCAAGTACCACACTTTATTTCCGTTAATGAGAAAAAACACTTTCGTCCCATCGCTTTAACGGCGGAATAATAAGGTGGCACTATTAAATTATTACGTAATAGGGATAGTAATCGCACCTTACAAAGTGCCCGTTACGTACTAAATTACGTATTTATTTTAGATATTATATATATAGACCTTTTCTTTTTATTTATTTTTATTTTAATAATTAAATTACTTTTACTATACTCTATATACTTATTATTACGTATTATAACTTATAATAATTATAAGCCTAGTTCTTAATTAAGACCTTATATTATAATGACGTACTTATTAATATAATTCTTACGATCTTTTTAAAATAATTAACTTATTTATATTTATTTTAACTTAAGCTAAATTAATTAGTTATAATAGTTAAATTAAATAGTTTAATATACTTTATATTATAAATAAGAGCGTTAGGGTTTAAAAATATATTAATTTAAATACTCTAAACTTTAATATATTCTTTAACCCCTCTATAATACTTATTTTACTTTTTAAATTTAAATAATTAGTTATAACTTATAATAAAAAAGAACTACGAGCTTATTAAGCTTATTATAAGGCGTTTAAGAACGACTAAAGAAATTAAGAAATCCTTTATTAATAATTTCTAAATATAACTTTTAATACGAACTTTTTAACTTTTTTAAGTACGAA